GGGTCCCCTTGGTGTCCTACAGAAGGTCAGAGCACCCACGCAGCTCCTGGCTCAATTCTTTCCCAGCCAATCCTTCTTCCCCAGGATGCCCTGGAAAGCAGGAGGCTCCTCCAGGCAGGATCTCTGCAGGCTGAGGGCAGCCCTGAAAGACTCAAAGCTTCCCCAGGCAGCAGCAGCAGAGGCTGAGCTGCAGGAAGCTCTCCCTGAGATCAGCCTCTGTGACTGATAACAAAGTCACTGCTGTGCAAACCCACCTCTCTGAAGATCCATGAGAAAAAAAAAAAACCAACCAAAAAAACCCACAACAGGCACAAGAAGCTGTTAAAACCTTCCTGCATTGTGCTGGTGTGGTGCCAGGTGCATTTTTGCCAAATAATAAATTTCAGCTTGGTGCACACCTCCTTCAGAGGTATCCATTGCACCTCCAGCATTCCCCTCTCCCTGGGGTTTGTGAGTCAGCAGCAGCACGGAGCCATCCCAAGGGAAAGGTGAGCAGGCAGCTTGCCAATTCATCAGAACAAACCTCCCCTTTCTTTTAGCTCTTTCTCCTCCTGAAAGGGAGAGATTGCTGGCTCAGGACCAGCCCTGCATCCAAAGGCAGGGCTTCATGCAGGAGGTGCACACAGATGGAAAGCAAAGCCATTTTAACTCCTCTTCCTGGTTTCCAGGGAAGGGGTTCAGGTTCCAACTAACTCCTAATTACTCACCACCTCCACAAAAACAGTTACCACCCTCTCCCACATCAGCATTTTAACAGAGCATTATTTAACCCCATAGCTGCAGGTTAAATAAAACCAGAGCTGAGACATCAGGGAGGAGAGAAAGTGTGTTTGCTCACAGAGGAGCACCTGCTCTTCAAAAGCTCACAGGAAGAAGAAAACCTCAAAAAATTTACATTTTTCCCAGCTGAAACTGAGGAAAAGGCCACAGCTTCCATGCAGAGCCTGGAGGAAGGGGAGGAGAGGGGGTTGGAGACTGGGATTTATCCACCCTCTCCTGGGTGTCAGCTGCACAAGCCTGAGCAGGGCTTCCCCTGGGTGCTTCCCCTCATCCTGGTGTTTGTTCTGGGGCAGATCCAGTGAATCCTGGACAGGAGGGACTTGCTGTTCCCTTGGCCTAAGAGGAAAACCCCTGGGTGGAGAGCCCAGCTTGCCACACTTCCCTCCTGCTCCTCCAGAGTTTGGGGCTCTGTCCCATCCACTGTGCCCCAACATTCTGCCAGCATGAACTGAGACAAATGCCATAAATAAAACCTCCTTTAAACCCAGCTGCCAGTGCCCAACAGGCCCCTCCTTCTCAAAAAACAAGGCTGAGAGTCAGGATTTTTGTTGCTGCACATAACAGTTTTGTAATTACTGTAAGAATTCACACGTCTATGGGAGCAAGACAAGGAGCAGCTTTTCCCTGGTGCACAGTTTAATGAGTGCAGTGGGATAAGCCCTTGCCCACAGGACCTGGTTTTGGTGGTGATGGAGCAGGGGAGATGCTCTGCCTCCACTCAGACCAGCGGGAGAACTGGCTCCAGAGCATTGGCTTCCCAGTGGGAAGTGGCAACATTAATATTAACTACCAAAAAGCAGGGACTGTTTCAGTGTTGTCCCAGTTCAGACCTGCAAGCATGACATCAAGCTTGGGAAGAGAAACCCAGGACTTCCATTAAAAAAACAAACAAACAAACAGAAAACCCCAAAAACCAAAGCAAAACAAAAGAAAAAAAAAACAAAACAAAACAGAAAAGCCCCCCCCCAAAAAAACCAAAAAACCCCCAAAAAAACCCAAACCAAACCACAAAAAAAAAAAAAAAAAAACAACAAAAAAACCCCACAAACAAACAAAAAAAAAACAACCCTGAAAAAACCCCAAGCAGGTTTCCATTTTGGATTGCAAGTGAAAAGCCCTGGACCTCAGCAGGTGCTCTGTGGGTGACTCTGCACTTCCATCTCTGGCCCAGTGAGGTATAAAAGGTTTATTCAGGGGGAAGTTTTGTTTCTCAAGCAGCAAAGGGAAGCTCATCCCTTGGGAGTGTTGGCAGACACAACTCTAACTAAGGACAGCTGATCTGTGTCAGAACAAAAGAGGACCAAGTGACCCAGCCCAAAATTGCACTGGGATGGCTGCTGAGCCCGGCTGGGAGCTGCCCTTGCTGAGCTTTAAGGCCTCAGAAGCAGAGCCAGCCCTCCCAGGATCTGCTCTCAGTGCAACTCCAGCTCCACACACCTTTGTGGCAGCAGTGTCACCTCCAGGCTGGTGCTCACCCCGCCCCTGAGGTGTGTTTGTCACTGTGTCACCCAGCCCTTCCAGCCCCAGCGGGGCTCTGAGGCTGCTCCCGGCTCTCCTGGGACCCTGGAGGGGCCACTCAGCTCCTCTGGGCAGAGATGAAAGCAGAGAGAGCAGCAGGTGAGTAAAACAGCCCTGAAAATGCTGCAGAAACAGCTTCAGGCAGAGTCACTCAGCCTGGACAATCTTTCTCACCTGGAGCTGCCAAGGGCAGTTTGGTGTGAGCACCAGCAAGGGAAGCAGGCATCTGACAGACTGGGATGGGTGGGATGGCAACAAAGGACAGTAATTCAGGCTCTGCACACTCCCAAAGGAAAGATGGGTACCCAGACACTCTCTCCAACCCAAAAAAAGAACACAGTTTCCAGCCCTGCCTGTTTCCTACCCTGTGCAGCTGTTTCTGTAAGAGCAGTTTTAAATAAAGGGCCAGGCACAAACCTCTCCTTTCATCCCAGGGCATGGCAACAGGGCATTTTTAGGTAGAAGAGGTCAAGTGCTGTGAATAGCTCCTTCCACAGGAGCTGCCCAGGATGGGGCCCAACCATGCAATTTAGGGTCAGTGTCACATCCCTGACGTGGATATAAGGTAATAACAAGTTCCACTGTCACTGTACCCAGCTCTGCCTCAGATAAGCCTGAGGAGGCTCAGATAAAGGCAGATAACAAATGAGAGGGTTTCTGTTACAAGCAGAGATCCTTGGAAATCAAGGCAACTGAATTGGATGCACATCCCCTGATGCCTGGACTTTTCAGGGTGAAAGATGCCAAAGAATTTAAATGATAATATTCTCCCTTTCTGCATCCCTTTCACACCCAGAATGGGTGGAAATACAGTAGAAATGTTTAATCATTCAGGATAAACCATAATTAGGCCCCTTTCCAAGGCTGTCTTGTATGGAGAGAAAGCTCATAAGAGCAGAGGTTTTACTGAGTTGTGGGAGAGTGTCTCCCTTTGTGACTGAAGGATCTGAGGGGACAACAGAGGATGAAGAATATATGTGAAGAAACAAAGAGATATTTTGGGGGTAGTGTGGCTACCCTGGGGTCCTTCCTTGGGCAGATGGACACTTCACACATGGAAAGCCCAACCTGTGCCTTGTGTCAGCCCAGTGACAACCTCACAAGGCTGACACAAAAATGTCCTGAAGGAGGAACCTTGAGCAGGGTCAGTGGTGGCACAAGTGTTCCCCAGGGGTGACAAAAGCACAGCTGGGGCAGGTAACACCAAAGTTTTGGCTGTGCCCTGAGCTCAGTGAAGGTCACCACATATTTAACTCTGTGGAAAGTGAGGGAAGGCTTTTGGTCCAGCAGGATGTGCCCAGCACACAGCTGAGCCCCAAGCATGGGGCAGGTGTCCAAGCCAGCCTCCTCTCAGCTGGGGATGGATCACCAGCAATAATTAGGATGGGGGCTCCATAACAGAAAAGAGAACAATTTCCATGCTGAAAGTGCGGAAAAACTTGCACAACTCTGTGGAAAAGGCCAGGAAGACACTGTGAACATCCTCAGCATCCCTGGCCATGCAAGAGCAGGGATTTATTGAGCCAGCCTAAGCAGAAGATCAAGAGGAGGCAGGAGATCAGGGTGGCACTGCTCACAGCCACGGCACAAAACCTTTGCTCCCAGCTGGGAGCCTTTGGCAGGCGCTGCCTCAAAGTCGTGCCTGGGAAAAAACCATCATGAGACCTCTGTGTCTGCTGGTGAGAAGGGAGCTGGAGGAGGATAAAGGCATCCTGTTTGTGCAGGGAGGAGGAGGAGGAGGAGGAGGGGAGGCTCACCTGGCTGTGCCAGGAGGAAGGTGAGGCAGGATGGTTATGGCTTTTTTCTGATCTGCCTGTCCTTGCATTGCCTTCCACCTGGCATCCCGGGAGAGCGGTGAAACCCCTCTGATTGTCTAATCTGCACTTTGCAGGCTCTTATCAGCCCATTTCGCTGCGGTGAGTAAAACGCACCTGGATGATTCAGCACCAAGCGCTGCTCTGGCGGGGCCAGTTTGCTTCAGCTGCTCTAACACTTGTTTACATCTGCGTTAGGGCAGTCTTGAATAAGCGTGAACCTCCCACAGATGCTAATTCATATCAACTCTCCTTTGTGTTAAATATTTATGTTCCTAATAGGCACGCCTAAGAAAAATACTGGCGAGCGAGCCTGCAGCTTAACTCCATTACAACTCAATTTTATCTCAGAGCAGCTCGCATCTGGAACGAGCAGGATGAGAAAACATTCTATTTGCAGAGCACAGCAGCCTGGCCATTAGCAATCTGTCGATCGGATGACAATAAAACCCATGGATGGGAACTTCCAAAGACTTTCCGTGGCTGCCTGGACCCATAACTGCGCCCCAAAGGCGGGAGAGCTTTTGGAAATCCCCACGGCAGCAAAACACAAAACAATCCAGGCCCAGACAAAGGTTACGCACGAAATCAAAGCCAGGCTGTGCAGAGAGCTGAAGGAAAAGTTGTGTCCTCGGAGCTGACAGGGAGCCCGGACGGGTTCTTGGCAAGCTCGGAGCTGCTCGTTCCAGCCCCAAACGATGTAAATCAGGGTGGGCTCCTTCCAGCAGACACATCCTGCTTTGTAACAGGGCAGGATCTTTCTTTTTTTTTTTTTTTTAATTATGAAGGATATTAATTTTTTTTTTGGTTTTGTTACCATCTCACATTAAAAAGTAATCAAACAGTTCTGGCCTTATTAAAGCCGGCGGGGTGCAGGACCTCGCTTACCTTGCTGCAAAGTGCGCGCTGTCCTCGCAGGTGTCCCCTTCCTTCTGCACCGAGCCCAGCGCCTCCTTCTCCTCCCCGCCGAGCTTCAGGGCACTTTTGTTCCCTGTTCTGCTACCTTGTCAGCCGGGGAACAGCCCTGTTCGGAAATTCAATCCTCTACTTAACCGCAGAGACACTCCTACCCGGAGATCACACCCATTCCCAGGCTCTGAGAGGGACAAAGAGGGAGCCGGTCCGGGAGAGTTTCAGCCAACTCTGTTTGCATCCAGTGTCCCCCGCTCTGAATTCCCTGAATGGTGATTAAGTGCTGCTTTCATTAAAAACCTGTTCTGTCCAGGTTAGGAGGGCACAGGAGGGATTTTTCCCCCCCTTTTCTCGGTCTCTGCGGGACAAAGCAAGGTGCGGTGCTGCTCAGCGTTAACCCTTGGGGACAAGGAATTCCAGCTCCACTCGCTGGCTCTGACTGTCCCCAAAATTCCGTCCCGAATTTTGGCAAAGCTGTTCCAAAAGCCCTCGGGGAAGATCCCTGCTCTTCTTCTCCCTGCAAGGCCGAGCTGGGAGTCCCTGTGCTCCCAAGGAGCCCCGGGTGAGGATTGCCCCCAGGTTTAGGGATGTAACAGAGCACTGGAGTGTTTAACTGGGCTGCCCTCCCAGGAGAGCAGTAATGATAAACCAGGCAGCCCCAGCAGGGTTTGCTGAGCCACCTTCAGCAGCACAAAGCTCTGTGTGAGGACACTTACAGCTCATTGCTGAGAAAAAAATTACCTGTGAAGGGTGGATGTAAAATCACAGCCACTGAAGGCTGGCTGATTCACTGGCTGGGGATGACCTGAGGAAAAATCATCTCCTGGCATTCCCAGCTGCTCCTGCCTGCCATGTGCTTGGTGCTGCTGATAGAGGAACATCCCTGTCTGGAGAAGGAACCATGTGGTACCTTGTCAGCAGCCACCAGCACTGATTTTGGGTATCCAGGGCTGTGTCCAGCTGTGCTCTGCACATCTCTGAGGATGGAGATTTTGGGGGACCCAGGGCTGTGTCCAGCTGTGCTCTGCACATCTCTGAGGATGGAGACCTTTGGGGGACCCAGGGCTGTGTCCAGCTGTGCTCTGCACATCTCTGAGGATGGAGATTTTGGGGGATCCAGGGCTGTGTCCAGCTGTGCTCTGCACATCTCTGAGGATGGCGATTTTGGGGGACCCAGGGCTGTGTCCAGCTGTGCTCTGCACATCTCTGAGCATGGAAACTACACACAACCTCTCAGGACTGGCAGCTGTCCAAGGCCTTCCCTTCAGATACATTTTTCCCTTGTCACTTCCTGAATTTTCTAGATTAGCCCCCACAATCTGAAAATAAATATGAATCAGCTCACCAGCTAAACCAGGTGGCTGAAGAGGTTTAAACCACAGTTCCCACAGGTCCCATCCACTGGCCATTGTTAGACCTCAGGGAGCTGTATTGGGAGGAGTGCCCAAAATACCAATGACACTGCCTGCAGCCTGGTGTGCCACTGACCACAGAGAGCTGCAAACCAGGGTGTGGCTGGACCTGCTTATTCAGCCTGGGTGTGCCCATTTCTGAGAGGATCACTGCAGAGGTCTCAGTTTCACGGTTTAAGATGCAAAACCACCTCCTAGCAAGTGATTTCTCCCTTTATGTCTGCAGGCTATAGCTCATAAACCTGTAACGGCCTTCACCTTTCATTTTTCATTGTTTTCATGTCCTTCTTTTCATTCCACCATGCTGAGAGTGTTCATCTGTTGCAGGGGACAGAGGAACAATGCTTTGTGTTTCCTCCAGTCCACAGAGGATGGGGACCTGAAGCAGGGTCTGCTTTTATCTTTGGAGTCCACCCAATGATGTCCCAGCAGTGAGGGTCACACTCCAGCAGATCTGGTGGAATGGCTGTATCATGTCCCTTGGTCTGTCCCTGTGTGCTCTGGCTGGAGTTTTGCAGAGGGAAGTACAGCAGCATGTTTTCCAAAATTACATTTGGGAGAACAGAGGATGGGGACCTGCATCAAGGTCTGCTTTTATCCTTGGAGTCCACCCAATGCTGTCCCAGCAGTGAGGGTCACACTCCAGCAGATCTGCTGGGAGCCATTGGAAGGTGGGGTGAAAACACCTGGAATCTTGGAGGATCAGCACCAAATCATGGTGTTTTCCCATTCCCTTTTTGCCACATGGACTTGTTATCCCCAGAACCAAGGATTTCATTAATAGTTGTGTATCTGGGTGAATTCTTTGTGCTGATGTAAATCAAGTCCCTTCCATGGCTGTGGCTACACAGATTTGAGCTCTGGGATGGAGTTTTCATTGCTATACCCAGAGCTTTGCTAATGCACTTCAGGCTCACACACAGGTGATGCCTGAGCTGCCTGCCCTCTCCTCCTCTCCATTAGTGCCACAGTGAAACAGCACTAAATTATCCTGGTGAGCTTTTAAGGAGCCCAACTCTGCAGAAATATGGGCAAAGCAGTTTAGAACAGTCAATGCCAAAGGGAAATAAAAGATCTTCGTCATAAAACGTGGGCTCATTTAGGGCTGAGCTGTAGGCACTTTTGCTTCCTGCTAATTCTGGTCATGCCATGGGGTTATAGAGCAGAAAACATTATTTCCAAGCAGTTTAACTCAGCAGTGGTGGAAAACAGCCTGGCCTGATTCAGAACTGAAACATGAGCTGAGATGTCCCTGTCCAGCTGTGCTCAACTTGCTGCTCTCGTGTCCTGGCCCTAATCCTGGCCCTGGTATTCCCAGAGCTCACAGACCTTGTGGTTTGGGGTTTTTTTCGTGCTTGCAGGTGGCAGATGAGGCTGTTGGCAGTGTCCCAGGGCAAGCCCAGGACACTGAGAGCATTGTCACAGGTCCACTCTGGGTTAATCAGAGGCTGCTGGCAGGAAGAGAGCAGAACTGCAAGCTCAGGGTCTGGCACCAGAATGGCCCAACATCTGCCTCAGCCTGGGCCATCCCACCTGCCTGTGGACAAGGGTGACATTGTGCATGGGGGAACAGGCCCTGCCAAGGATGTGTTTGCAAAGTGACACCTTCCAAAGGTATTTCCAGCCTGCTGCTGGGTTGGAGCTCTGGGAGGAAGAGGGAAGGGCCAAGCCCTGCAGATGAGATAACACAGCAGGGGCCTCCTGCCTGGGAAAAGCAAAGGAAGGAGTTAAAAAAACCCCACAAGCTGCTCAAAACACCAGTGCTTCAGCCATCAGTAGAGGTTAAACACCCTGACCTGTAAGAGCAAAAGCACTGCATGAATTTCTGAGAAGCTTTCAGGAGAGCTTTCCTTGACCCACAACCCAACCAAGTGACATTTCCCTGCAAGTCCCTCATGTAGCCTCACTCAGACTCTTCTCTGCCCTAAAAAAATCATAATGTCCACACGAAAATCTGCATAGTGCCTCTTGCAGGTGTAAGAGCTGATCTGATAGAGGAGGATTGGGTTATAACCCCCAGCTCCCTCACCTCCTGTGCCCCTGGCTGTGGGGGAAAAGTTGAGAAGGCAATGCAGATGCTTGTGTGCTGACTGCCAGATCATCTCTCAGATGAGACCTTATGGCTCCCTGCAGCTCCCTGACAGGAGCTGGGGCTTGGTCTCTTCTCCCAGGTAACAAAAGCAAAGAGGAAGTGGCTCCAAGTTGTGCCAAAGGAGGTTCAGTTGGATATTTGGGAAAAAAATTCTTCCCCACAAGGGTTATCAGGCTGAGCAGGGAAGTGGTGGAGTCACCATCCTTGAAGGGATTTAAAAGATAGAGATGTGGCACTTGGGGACAGGGCTTAGTGGTGGCCTTGGCAGTGCTGGGTGTGATGGTGTTCACAGGGGTTCTTGGGTGAGGGAAGAGACGAGGATCTGACTCCATGTTTCAGAAGGCTGATTTATTATTTTATGATATATATTACATTAAAACTATACTAAAAGAATAGAAGAAAAGGTTTCATCAGAAGGCTAGCTAGGAATAGAATAGCAAAGAATGATAACAAAGGTTTGTGTCTTGGACTCTCTGTCCGAGCCAGCTGGGCTGTGATTTGCCATCAATTAGAAACAACCACATGAGACCAATCCCAGATGCACCTGTTGCATTCCACAGCAGCAGATAACCATTGGTTACATTTTGTTCCTGAGGCCTCTCAGCTTCTCAGGAGGAAAAATCCTAAGGAAAGGATTTTCCATAAAACATGTCTGTAACAGCTGGGTTGACAGCTGGACTTGATTTTTGGGTCTTTTCCAGCCTAAATGATCCTTTTCCAACCTAAATGATCCTGTGATCCTGTTCTGGAGCTCTGTGGGCAGCCTCTGACAGACATCAGGGTGCTGGTGAATGGTTCCCAGCAGCAGATGGGAATATCTGGGGGCAGGAGGAGGTTCCTGGGCATTCAGGGCAGGAGTGTGGCTGTGCTGCAGTGCCCAGCAGTGCTGTCACACACCTCTCCAGCCACAGGGAGTGGCTGCATCCTCCCCTGGTCACCTCCTGGCAGTCAGGGGCTCCTCTGGTCACAGCATTGCTGTGCTCTGAGCCCTGGGAGCTGCAGACTCTGTGGAGGCAGGGGCAGGACGGGCCCCATTCTGGAGAAAGGAGTGGCCCTGGCAAGCCAAGGGCACCAGGGTGAATGCTGATTTGGGGCAGGAGTAGCTTTGGAAGAGCTCTGGAGATGCAGTTCACCCTTCCAGGGCCAGCAGCTCACAGCAGGTGAAGACAGGAGCAGTTTCTGACATGAGACAAACCTGGAGCTGTTATTCCAGTTGATTGTTTGGCCATATTAGTGCAAAATCCATTTCAAGCCATCTGTGTTGGGCTGTGGACTGGAGAGATGGGGCTCATGTGTGCCCAGGCTTATGGGCAAAAGCACCCCCTGAGAGAGAGAAAGAGGTGGGGACTTCTTGCATCATTGACAGCAAGGTCTGACAGGGCTTCTGGTCAGTCTTGAACCCTCTTGTGCATCCTAAAGTGTCTCTAACCCACCCTTGGAGGTGGGATGCACCACTCTGTGTCTCTGCTAGCCAGGAGCAACACCTCAGTGAATACAACTCCAGCAGATCTGATGGAATGGCTGTATCATGTCCCTTGGTCTGTCCCTGTGAGCTCTGGCTGGAGTTTTTGCAGA